TCTTTCTTTCTCTCTTTCTCTTTCTTTCTTTCTGTCTCTGTAACAAGCACTGTTTCTCCTCTGCCATACATTTCAGCCATGCTGTCCTCCTTTGGAGCTAGCTGACTATGGACTGAAACCTCTATATATTGCAAGCTGAAATAAACTTCCCCTTAAACTTGTGGGTGTCGAGTACTTTGCTCCAACAGTAAGAAAGCAACCAAAACAAGGATTTTCTACAAAATTTGCAAATTTTAGGGCCATGCATTGTCATTTGTCTTTTAAACAGTGCAAACCAAAAGGATTGTCTTAATTCTGTATATTTAAATGGTTTCTCTCTGCTATGAGTGCTTTTATGCACTTCAAAAGAACTACAATGAGTAAAGATTTTTCCATATTCCCTCCAGTGTGGATAATTTCACATCCTTGAAAGGAGTTATAGTAACTGCAGGCTTTCCCACATTGTGTGCAGGTATATGGTTTCTCTGCATATTCTTTGTTCTCAGATGTTTTTACCTAGCTTCATTAACTATCTGTTGATTAAGAGATGAGTGACACGTTATGATTACTATAGATAAGTAATATTAAGGTAGTTTGAATACAATTGAACTTTTCTTGCTCAAGTAAAAATTTGGAACCTAGGTAAAGATTTCTCTAAACAGATACGTCTTACTTTCATAGGCTTTCTTTACAATATTACTCCTGTCCAGGAAGAGAAACATCTTGTTGTTTAGTTGAGAATAATAAATATCAGTACACATAGGAGTCATACTTTTATGAATTTTTCTTTTTGGAGACAGGGTTTCACTATGGAGTCCAGGCTGGTCTTGAAATCATGGCAATCCTCTTGCCTCAGTAGCCAGAGTGATAGAATTATAGGTGTGGAACACAATGCCGAGCTACATTTTTAATGTTATCAAAGAAAATATAGGCTGCCCTATCTCAATATTTTGATATTAAATTCAGTTTGAATATTCTATGAGAATATTTGGTCATAGGTGTTAAATCATATTATTTTCCTACATGGAGTTTTTATTATTGCTTATAGTTTGCAAATACTTAACATCTATATGATTAAGTATAAATTTTCTTAAAATTTTTCTACAAATATATTGAAAGGTGAATTTATTCATATTCTTTGGTCATTTTAAAATTTCGTGCAGCACTGAGATTCTTTCATGGGACACTGAGTCACCTAGGGACCTATGGAAAGAAAGGAGCAATCAATAACATATAAATCAAGGCATGAGAGTACATGCCTATAACATTAAAACCCTCCTAATAAAGGGAAAAATCTAAGAGGAAGAGATGACAATAATAAAT